CCCCCCCCCCCTGATTTCATCAGATCTTAGTGGAGAGAAAGAGAGCCTGGAGGCACCTTCTCCGAGGAACTGTAGACCTCAGGGCTGATTTTCATCCCTTCCGGTTCTTGAGATGGGATCCCAGCAAATATTAAAGAAAATGACAGGGCACTTTTTCGTGCACGGCGCTGATGATCATTAACCAGTCGTTGGATGGAGTTTGAGGTTAAAAGTTCCCGAGGAAATCAGGGCCCGGAAGGAAAAGTCACGCGAAGGTATCAAGCACCCCCGGGGTTCACTCACCTTTTTTTTTCCCCTCTTTTAAGGGTCTTGGGAAAAATCTGAGGGAACTAATGGCGTTGAATTGGATCTGACCCTAACGCGGTGGTCCCGTGAGGCTTCGAGTCTCATGAATGAAGCGTGGTCGCGTGGCGCCTCGTGACGTCACAACCTGTTGCTACCTGTTCCTCTGGCTTCCTCTGAGAACCGCCTTTCCACTCGCCCTCGGGCGCAACAGTCCGCGACATAACCTATCGGAACGCAATATGTCCAACTTGATACCAGCTCGATGAGGAATATGAAATCTAATATGAAACAGTATTGAGATATTTTGTACTAGTTAATCGATGATCGTTTGACATTTTTTTTTTTTAGATTGAGAAACCGAAATTTTGATTCAACTACTTACAGAAAGTGTTGAGTAGGAAATGTGGATCGCTGTTTAAGTTTCATTGGGTTATGTTATGTTATAAATCATTCAAGTAATTCGTAAATATTTCGACTGCTCATCCTTGAGATTTTCGGTTAATAAGCATCCATTACAGATTTAGTATGCCTTCGGAGATCGGTATGGATGATCAACCTTTACCTAGAAACCTACTTTATCCACGGATGGTTCGAGAATTTTCAAGCTGAGAGTGGCGCTACCTATCGGGAATACATCGAAGCTTCACGTCCGACGAACTGCCGCTAGAGGCAGCCACCGGTCGGTCGAAAGTGACGTAACTCGTAGATGCCCTTATATAACCAAAGTTGGAAGGTGATCAGCCGAAGGCGAGAAATAATTCATTTTTAACTAGATAAGCGTGCTATCTTGAACTCACGATCAATAATCCCCACGTGTAAATTTGTTGCGATTCAAAATAGCAGACGACCTCATCGCTAATAAATTAACCTAAAACGCGGACGACTCCATTCGAAAACTCGTCAAACCAGAAAGTTCTATGGCGTTCTGCTGGCGTCTAAATATCAAAATCACCATTAAGCAAACTCTAATCCCTTACTTATTTGTATAACCTGGCACTCTGGTACTACCATAAACGCAAAGAACACGTCTTAATCAGCCAGACGGCTATTTAGAATTTAAAAAGACTCGGTGCTCTTCGTTACACCGAGTTTAAAAGCTCCATCGATAACAACAAAGCCCTAACTATTAAAAATTAAAATATACACAAGATTCTCGCACGGAGCCACATGAAAGTCTATCGGCAAAGTGGCGTTGCACCTAAAAGCTAATATATCATTCTCAGAAAAAGCTTTCTTTCGAAATAACGATCTACCCACGACACAGCAGCAACAGAGCCCGAGAGAAAATCCAGAGCCTCGGGCAACATCTGCCCCGTTAAAGGTTGTTTGATATTGTGAGATGTTTTGACTGACTTGAGTTTGCCGTGGATATAGTGCCTGCCAATGGGGACGTGAGAACGCTATCTGCGTTTGGTTCGGTTAAAGACGCCGAACCAAGAGTAACGGCCAACCGCACGCACAGCTGCGGTTACATATTTCACGCAATATGTTGGCCACCTTGTCTCCGCCAGCTTAAAACACGATCATCCCATCCTCTTCCATCCCGTATCCTCCTCATCCACGTCACCTTCTCGTACCCCCCCTGCACTATCTGGGCTTCGGTGGTTCTACCATTATTTCACAGGAATCCGATCCGTGCACGTACCGATTTACAAGATGTCTACCGACATAAGACAATCGGAGGGTCGCTGGCTGTAATATAAAGATTTAAAAGAAAAACAAATCCATCGAGGCTAAACAAGTAAGTCCACTGTGGTTACTGAGAATTTAACTTATAATAGCCGAGATAAATTTGTCCAGAGTCGTTGCTTAGCTGTTTCAATGGGCTACCACCAACGATATCCTAAAATACATTGCGGGGGATTTATTGCAACGAAATTACGGCAATCAATGGCGCCCTGTGTGGGCCGTTTGCCTCGAGAGACTAACGTATTTGCGCCCGTATCAAAACCCGGTAATCTAACGAGCTTCTTGGATAGTCTAATTTATCCTCGGATTTTACCTAGAATACGAGCCTGATTTTCGTTCAAGGTAAATACCGACGCATCAGGATTCCTATAATAGACGTGTAAATGATGGTATGCGTCGAATGATGCAAAGGAGTTGGGTATATCGAATTACAAAGTCAGGGACGTCAAACGGTACCCGCTGGCAATCTAGATAATCTTTGGTACTACCGATACGTAATTCTGCAGCCATATATCTCTCGTTACTCTATTTATATTCTACCTCGAGCAACGCCGGACACCTTGTGTCACTCGCGTTGACACAGGGATAAGGTTAGTTTCGCAATGGAATACGATTATGGTTGTTACACGACTCTACTCCTGGGTCACGTTGAGAATGAAAGTCGACGGAACAAAGTGAAAATATCGGAATGAACGAGTAAGAGGGAAGGTGTGGACGTACTGGCATGCCAATGGCATATACGAGTGGACGCGAAAGACTGGGGAACGAGTAGCGGCGCTAGTCGTTCTCGAGGAGGCAAGATGTCCGATGGACAGCGGAAGCTTTTGTAATTCAGGCACGTAAGACGTCGACGAGTCTCCCTCGTTCATCCGGTGCCTCGTCGAGGAATAAATTGAACGAACATCTAGCCTACCTACCGAGCGAGGAATCGCTTCTCGGAATGACAAGACGCACAGGCCTCGATGCCGTTCGGCGTCTCCTTGTCTAAAGGTTCGTACCGTACGGACGGGACGATGCGCGCAACGACAATGGTCACGCTACAGTGAGCGACGGCGGAACCTGAAAATGACAGGTCGACGAGAGAGGTAGGATTATCTTTGAATGCAGCAATAATATATAAAGTAAAACAAGACGGAAAGTCAAACTCGAAGCCGAATAATAAGTGTGGAGGCTCGATAGGCAAGCAGCGAGTATAGAGTGAAGTTGGCGCTGGGTTGGGAATCGAGATTCATATTTATGAGCGTGGCGCGCATGCGCGAGCGGCGGCCATGTTTGATTATGCCTGGAATCGGCAGCGAAGGGAAGCGCGCAAAAGAAACAAATTTGTTGCGCTACGTCAATGTCGCGGAGACAATGCTCATTTACATAAAACATTCTGCACTGGCTGTCATCAGAGGCCTATCGCGGAATCATATGACAATAGCATCGCGCCTCGGTCATCGATTGTTACGGAAAAGCTGGATCGCTGCATTATTCAGCGCGGCAAACTGGAAAATATAAGCGGTCGACGGCGGCGTCCCTACGTGTTTTGTGACGGTAAAAATAAGCTCGGCTACTGCGCTTCGAGAAAGTGGGGTGGGTGCGTTAAACCCCGAGGCAACCGTCAATGCCGCGGACTTCCATTTACAGAAAGCCGCTCCCTGGTAATTCAATCGCGAGGTTATCTATCGTCTGAGAACATCGACACCACTTCAAGCACTCATCATCCATCCCAGCCAATTTCAAAGCACGGTATACAACGACGTCACACTTATTTTTCAGCATTGTTTATTGCACTAGCCGCTAGCCAAGAATATCCCCTAAATCGGGCACAAAGGACGGCTTCACGAGTAAACACGAGCTTCGCGATACTTTGAAGAACAAAAAGAACCAACCTTCCAGCCTTATTCGCATATTCACGGAGACCAGGAGGGCCGGCCTGTCTCGGTGGATCCTACTTTCCATCCTCTCTTCAAATACGGAGCATCCGTTACGAGAAATCAAAATTAATAACTCCCAGGTACGATTTTAACACTCAACCAGGCGTGCCGCATGGCTAATCCCCATTGAAAAAAAAAAAAGAAAAACATTCCTAGATAGACAGAAGCCTCGAGTTAAAAAGTTCACGCACGTTGACACAGAACGTGCACGCAGTCAGACCGGATGCAGCCTCAACCCTTCCGTGACGGGCAGCCCTGTCCCACACGGTGATCGTTATGATTATTTATTATTAAAGTGTCGCACAGAAGCCCTTCGCCGTGGCGTGACTCTGACTTTTCACATTGCGATCGGCTTTCAGGTTCCACGGGTCCCGAACGAAAACGCCCTTAGGGAACTCAACGCGGAGAGGCCAACGATCTTACGTGAATCACGAGACGACCCACGTGAATAGAATGCCGTAGTGTGCCAGGCGCTGAGTACAACGTTGAATTCTCAATGAACCACGTGCATCTACCTTAACGCACACGCGTCCCTTCTAATTACTATATAGTACCTCTTGCTGCCAAACGGACCGTAAGTCGGACTCATCTACGCCTCCGTTAACGCCTAAAGAAATCACACGCAGTTTCAGTAGCCACGTAACGACCGCCTCTATCGGTTCGACACTCTTCCGCGTAACGACACGTCGCTAAATGCATACCGTACCTAATCCTAACGAAATCACGTAATCCCTGTACCTCTAAAATATATATATATATACAATTCTTCGTAAAATCCACGAAAACATCCACGTCGTTACCAACAGACAACCTAGCAACACATTAAATCATTACACTGTAATAATCGCCATGTATCAAACGTTGCCTCTACCAGCCGATAAAGTCTAATCAGTTGTTTACGGTCTGCCAAGTCACGTGTAGTAGAAAAAAAAAGATGAAAAAAAAGTTTCGTAGCGACTTCCAACGCTGCTATATAATACATATACAATATGGCTATTTGGTGTTCGACTAGGACTCGCTGACATAAGTAGGTGGGCTGCTGGTCGGACTCTGCGTAGTTTGACTATACCTAAGTACAGCAGTGTAACGAGTATGAAAACGAGCGATATATATATACATACACGTAAGTACTAGAGACTGTAGCAGGAGAAGGGAAAGCGGGGGCGTATAGTGGGGGCCTTAATGAGGATGCTGCTGATTATCCAATTCGTAAATTCTCGCTACATTTTGATCACACTGGCCGACCCGCGAGTAACAAGAAAATAACGTTTCGAATCGTACCGACTAATCCTACACGTTCTATACACAAGTATTTATTATATGCTTAGTCTGCTCGCAGCTCCTATTACGCAAACACGGCCGCGGATCACGAGTCCGCTAACGCGGCCAAACGGTAAGACAGAAACGAGACGGACGAGACTAGAGAAACTGAAGTAGCCGATGCAGGAGATTTTTCATTCTGCGCGAGAAAAAAAAAGAATAAAAATAAACAGCTGATTCTCAAAATTCCTGTAAAAACTGTCCTAGCTCGTTGGCTGGTCACCGATTGAGGGACCGTAGACGTATGGTATGCCTAATTTTTTTTGTGTAATAAAATTTTCTCCAAACTCAGCGAACTTGCAGATCGGTCTACTGATCTCGTGGAATCGTACAGGAATCGTAATTATTAGTCACGACCGATCTTGCGTAATCCTATTGACGAATAATTCGCGCATGCCAAAAGGGTTCGCCTCCGATTGTTCGTATCAAACGTTCCTTTCTCCGTTCTTCCCTCTTCACTACGTCGTATCTCGCACTGCTATCGCTTTCAGAACTCATTTTCCGCGGTGACACGTGGAATGAATGAATGACGCAATGTCTTGTCCAAGGTTACAGATTCACGTGAAATCTCTCTCTATATATATATATGTATATATATATATATATATATATATATATATATATATATATATATATATATATATATATATATATATATATATATATATATATATATATATATATATATATATATATATATATATATATATATATATATATATATATATATATATATATTTGCCATCGGTTTATATATAGTATAAAAACTTATGGCAAAACTGTAACATAAATTGATACAACAGGTATATATGGTAAATTATTTGGAAGGATAGGGGGGGGGTCACCCATCCTCCGTGCAGTAATATTGGCACCAAGGGTGACGAAACGTCAGGCACACCTGTTTGTCAGGAGCGTATTGTGCGTGATCGATGAAGCGCGGGGGTCAATAGGGTCGAGGATGCCAAGGGTGGTGCCTACGTAAACCTACCTGTTGCAGTGCCCGTAGGGATGCATCAATTTCATGCCAGAGAAAAGGAAGTTCGGCCCGTAATGCGTGCGTATCGCAGTGGCAACGAGGGTCGTAAAGCGACCGTTCGAGCGATACGAGGAGCATAAAGGTAGGGCATCCTGTGACTCGCCCGGGACACCTAGTTTCATTTCGTTTGAGTCAAGAGTGAGACGGGGGGACCATGGTCCCCTTGGTTTACATTAAGTAGAGAAAGACATATATATATATATATATACACACACGGATACTTCCCCTCTTTTTCTTCAGAGCTCAGGCGTGAAAGCATGTTTTGAGTTTGGTCCACAATCTCTGGAATCTTTCGAAAGTGAAAGAACTTAGTGAAGGAAAAAAAGCCCCCCTCTAAAAAAAAAGATGCAGAGTACAGCACTCAAAAAGTATGCGCCTCTCGTCCTGAAAATATCATCAAAGAACACGGGGCCGATTTTGAGTAAAAAAAAAAACAAAAAATAAAATAAAAAAAAATCACGTTCATCCTGTTGATCTAAATATCCCAAAATGCCCATCCGAACCCATCGGTACGTCCACCGTGCCAGCATCTCGTCCGCCGTGGATGTTCCTGAGTCGCTAAGATACACAGAGCAGTGAAGGATGCAAAGGTCAAAAACTCACCGAGTGAACTCTCCGGGTCCGAGAGGTCCGAGAGCGAGGGTACCTTGCGCATCGAAGCGAATCGAGCGGGCAGAGCAGGCACCAGGCCCTCCTCCTCGGCGTCCGAGGCCAGCTCCTGCTTCATGTACTTGGCCATCATCATCATCACGCCACCGCCGCTGAGGCTGCCACATCCGAGAATACCGCCCACGCCACGCGCATCGCGCTGAAATCATCAAACGATTCGTTAAATCTTAACGACGGCCCTCGTTACACGGGACTTCCGGTGGCTCGTGCTACGACGCACTAGGTACTTGCACATGACGTTACATATACAAATAGATATAGGCAGGCGTACGGTCGTCATCTTGCGCGGGTGCCGTATGACTGGCGTGGGTATAAATTTTGTTTTTCCCCTAGGATTCCGATATCCTAGGGAAAAAACAAAAGCCAGCTGTCAGCTGACAGTACACACGTAGAGAGTCAGGCATTGCGTGTAAAAGGACGAGGATCAGCCAAGTTTGTATATTTTGTGTAAGTGTCAGAAACAGCAGCAGGGACGACTTTGGGCCGGTGGTAGGTGAGGTTCATTAATGGCGTCGAAAGGCCCCGTCGTGAAAGTGTCCGTCGTACGTGCTCGACGAGACGGTTAACGTGTCCGAATGCTCAGGTAACACGTCGTAAAGACTGTTCTCCGTCCCACGTATCGTCTTTGCATGATAATGTGAGGTTAATGACGTTGCCCCTGGTGTCGTTCGACAAACAGTGTATTCCGAATGGGAGCACAGTTCAATTTGTCGCTATCTGTGTCTCTTTTATTAATCCCCCGCGTAATAAGGTACGGCCCTCCAACGTGAGCTTTGTTCGGATCATTAAGCCAGTTGTCGAGACGGCCTCTAATTCGCATGGTCGGTGGTAACGCGGCAGACGAGGACTGAGGATGTGTTACGGTTACGAGATATTACTCGTGACGCTTCGTATTTAGACATACAACTATTAGACAATAGGGAGTGTAGGGTCGCGTGAGAATACAGCGAGCGAACTAGGCGAGCGAAATCGTTTTATATCGGTAACGAATAAAAGTGACAGTAGCGCCTGGCAGCAGGTCGATTCGCCGTATCGCATTAAATTCACTATGCACCGGAGTGAAGGTCATCTCGCTGAGGTATTCGAGACTAAGGGTTAATTCACACAGAGACAAAGAGGGCGTGCGATACAGAGGCCCTATAAATTAAGTTCAGTCTCTATTAAGGGCCGACCTATATATATATATTTTCATGAGGTCTAGGAGAGAGAGTACGTGGTTCGCTCCCACGTTTACATTGGCCATAATGGCCCCCAGGCACAGACCTACCGGTCCGCGCGCCCTGGTCGAGGTAATTAAGTAGATGGTAACGAATAGCGAAAAAAAGAAATAGGGAGAGTACGGAATCGATCGGTGGGCTTTGGAGTTCATCCGGGAAGCAAGAGTGGCGGGGAGATTGCTCCAGTGCACTGGAACGAGGTGACGTGGTCAAGAGATCAGGCGTTTGGGTCGAGAAGGTCAACCCCGGGGTAGCGATCCTCGACGGCCTTAATGGTCAATGCGATTTCGTGTCGTGGCACAGCAGCGTGCGATTACATTGCGCGAGTGCGTGTACCGATTAGAAAGTGCGGACGTTGTCTCGAAAATGCGAAAATTGTAAAAAGGAACGGGTGCATAGGAACTAGGGGCGAGGAGGGGAGGGCGAAGAAAGGAGAGCGAGAGTTAAGAAGAGAGAGGTCGAGAGGGGATCGAGGAGAAGGAGGGGAGGTGGTGCAGGACGAGGAGACTCAGCAGAAACATGAATGAACGGTGAACCTGCAGCCGAGTGGTCTTGTCGTAATTCTCGTGTAGGAGTGGTGGTAGTCGTGAGTGAGTGCGGCGGGAGGGGGGGGCGAGAGAGAGAGAATTAGAGAGTGAGAGAGAAAGAGGGAACGAAAGAGTGACAGAGTGGGAGAAGGATGGGAAGAAGTGCATTCGAGGGGCAAGAGGGGAAGTGAGTGGGGAGATCGGATAGCTGTGAGAGGTAGCGGTGGCGAGAGGGAGGAGGGGCGACGGAGGGAGGGGGGGACAGTGAGAATTAGTGAGAGAGAGAGGGGGGATGGGAGGGGAAACGCAAGGAGGGAGAAAGAAGAGAAGAGAATGAAGGGGATGCCGCAAGCCCAGAACCGACCGGCTTGACCTTCGTGCGGGCAACTGAATGAAATGGCTGCGCCGACGGAGTGACGCAACCGAACGGTACGGCAACGAGGCACGAAGATCCATGCCACACCTCGCCTAATAAAATCTCAGATCCTAATGTCGTCGCATCCTTATCAATAGTTCGGCTTGATTTCGCGTTCGGTTTTTTTTTTTTTTTACAAAATTCTTGAATTTTTGAAAATCGAATTTAAATAATTTCTAGGCTGACTCTGCTGTGTAGAATTTTGCGCGTGTCCCACGTGCATACCTTTTGACGTTTCACGTGCGTGTTTGACAGTTTGGTAATTCGTTGTTCAATGAAAGGCGCGAGTTAACGTCTTACGTATGCGACAAGAAATAATCTACGGGCGAACGAAGATAAGGAAAGTATTGATCTTCATTAATGAATGGGAAATTGAAGCGTATTTTTCTTTTCGAGTCTCGATATCCATTATCTAACGTAAACAACGATTGTTACTTGGCGTGTGGAATACTGTTGCGTATACGGATAGACAGGCGATTGGACGACGACTTGGATAATTAGCGAAAGCGATTGGCTCGAATGACTCGAATAAAAAGGCCCGAATGGATAAAGATAAAAATCGCGTGATTTAAAATTAGCGATGTCGATGGTCTTGGGGACACGACACAACACAGGCCGATGTAGAGCTCGTCATCGTGCGATAAGGCCGTTGCGATAATTCGATACATTGTTCGCGAGGTCACGGAAAGTGTCACATTGTGTGGAGTGATTAAGGAGCGCTGGCGGTTAAAACGTTAGAATCGCGAAAAATTTGACGTTAAAAGTTCAGCGTGTCACGGCGTTACGAATCGATTATGAACATCAACAGAGTCAAAGCAACATGAACGATTATACTGTTAATAAGGTATTTAATTATTGTTTCGTATGACAATAAGTAAAGGAGACGCGCAAGAATCGTGAAAAATTTGACGTTAAAAGTTCAGCGTGTCACGGCGTTACGAATCGATTATGAACATCAACAGAGTCAAAGCAACATGAACGATTATACTGTTAATAAGGTATTTAATTATTGTTTCGTATGACAATAAGTAAAGGAGACGCGCAAGAATCGTGAAAAATTTGACGTTAAAAGTTCAGCGTGTCACGGCGTTACGAATCGATTATGAACATCAACAGAGTCAAAGCAACATGAACGATTATACTGTTAATAAGGTATTTAATTATTGTTACGTATGAAAATGAGGAAAGTCAATAAAGCTAACGTGGCGCAGATTATAAATAAATTGTCAGTATTATATAAGAATAACATTTTTTCTAACCGATAAGAAGAATCCAATGATAAATCCATGACCAATCGGTTCCCTGTCAGCTGTTCGAATCCACTGTTATCGGTTGAACGTTACCGCTAAAAAGCTAATCAACAATTCGATTTGCCTTATCTAACCGGTGACGCGTGCGAATGGATTTTTTTAATTATTTCAATTATCCTTCATTAATTAAGCCACCTCGATCGGATCAACCACTTCGGAGCACGCTTCCATTGAAATTAAATCTACATGACGATACGAGGCAAGCAATAAGAATGAAAGGAGGCGAGTAGCTCGAAAACGTGAGAATCGCTTTGAGCTATCAGATACACGAAAATTAATGAAAATCGCCACGTTCG